ATACCGATCTATTTAATCACAGATAATTTCCACTATTTTTAATAATTGATATTTATAAATTAAATGATGCTGTGAATACACATATTCTTGTCCTTACATTCAAATGATTCTTTGAAGTAGATATACCACCACAGCTTCTAAAGTTGAAAACAAAACATTGTCACAAATATTAATTTTCTATTCGCGAAAGTTATTGAAGCGCTCAAGAAATGTCGCTGACATAATAAAGAAAGTGTTCGTCAAAAGGGATTGATGCGCGCCTAAGTTGACATCATGTACCCGGAACTAGCGCCATCTAGTGTCGGGGACGAAAGGAAGTATTGAATTTGGCGAGACGAGCGGAGCTTCGGAGCGGAATAAAGTGAATCAGTGTGATTAATTATTAGTGTTTTAAGTTTAATTAGTCTGAAGTGAATTAAAGTGTTAATTTTGGTAATTCAATCGGCAGTTTTTATCGTCACGAACCTCAAGCTCGTAACAGGATTAAAAAACGTGTATGAGCAAGCGATTGATATTCAAAAGTGTATCAGTATTTCTATTCTTTATTTCTAATTTTGTTTCATAAAAAAGTATAGGCTGTATGGCTTAGTTCCTTTGCCTGCTATCTCGAGCGAATAATAAAAACAACAACAACGACAACAACGTAGACAGAGAAACCTATAGACTAATGATTAGCGTGGCTTCGAGTGAGAAAGGACGATAACGTAGTTTTAGGTTATACAATAATCTTAATGACTTTTAAACATATTTAGATAAAAATTTTAATTGTTCTAAGAACTGAACTGAACAAGATTCACCAATCTTAAGCTCACAAAATACTTTTCTCTCGCTCAAACCAACTTGTAAACTCCTTAGATTGCTACGATCTGTCAAAGTTGTTTAGCAAAGTATAATTTGCCAAATAAAAAAAAAACCGGCACGGAGAAAGGGACAAATAATCACACCGCTCTGTTTCATTTCTATGCAAGACGGATGCATAAATCTATCTTTTTCGTGTGCGAATGCGAAAGAAGGCGTCAATTTGTCTATGGGAGTCTACGAACAACAACATAAAAAAGTTTTCTCTATTATTCTCTATTGTCTTTGGGGCCGGACGGCATCGTACACGTAATGTGCCTGCTATTAAATTAAATGGCACATCATTAACTAGGGTTGACCCTCAAATATTTGGATCATATGGTTACGTACGACCCCAAGGATACTACTGACATAGAAGAAGAACGTAGGGCTCTGTCGGTTCGTGCAAATATGATTGGACGTAGGTTCGCGAGATGTTCAAGGGAGGTTAAACTCACTTTATTTAGAGCGTTTTGTACATCTCTTTACACGTGCAGCCTGTGGAGGGGCTACACGCAACGGGCCTATGGAGCTCTCTGGATCCAATATAACAACGCGTTCCGGGTGCTGATGGGGCTGTCCCGACGCTGCAGCGCATCAGCGATGTTTGCTCAAGCACATGTAGATTGTTTTTACGCAACTTTGCGTAAAAGAGCTGCATCGCTGGTGCGTAGGGTAAGGGCCAGCCCCAATGGCATTCTTAAAATGATAGGTGACGGAGTGAACTGTCCCTATCTGCAACATTGTTGTAGACTGCAGCTAATTTGACTGCTGTTTATGTGCATTACAGCATTTAGTAATAATTAATAGTTTTAATATATTTGTCTCATCATATTTTGTTAGATTATTTGATTTTAATTTTTTTAATAATTATAAAATGTAATGTAAATAAAAATGAGTCATGGATACTTGAAATTGAATAAATAATAATAAAAAAATATTATCTGTATGCTTGTTAATAGTAGTTCTAGTGTAAGGTATACTTGGACAATTAATATTGTTATTACAACTTATCACTGCATTCATTTACCGTGGGTCTAGTGGTCTTTAATTGCTGCGTATTATGAGGTCCTAGGTTCAGATCTAGGAATGCGACAAATATAATCGTTATAAAGTCTTTCAAGAAATTGGAAGTCTTTCAAGATGTTGGCAGTGTTTCAACTCTGTGCCATGGAAAGCACGTAAAGCTGTTAGTCCTGCGCTTTATCTCATTTCGGTTGTGTCAGTTGCCGTCTCATGGGACTACGAAGAAATAGAGAGTGCGTGAGCGTGCAAGCATAGATGCACTCCCTATTTCCTTTAGTTAGTGACTGCTGCTGCTCATAAACAACTGCAACACCAGGGGAATTGCCATGTAATTATAATAAATAGGTTACAATATATAGGTTCTAAAAAATTCAAAATTTTTTATTCAGTATCTTAAATTTAAATACATTAACTAGGCTGGGGTCTCCTTTTAAGTATATCAATACCTGTGTTAGGGGACCCCGCACTTCCATAACAATTTTAGATACATATAAAATAACGCATATGTAAAGATTAAATCAAGTGCGGTCGCGCGCGTGCGCGCGCTCGTGTGTGTGTGTGTGTGTGTGTGTGTGTGTGTGTGTGTGTGTGTGTGTGTGTGTGTGTGTGTGTGTGTGTTGCGCGTGTGCGTGTTGTGGAAAGTATTTATGCTATGGCGTAATTTTTCTATTTATTTCAATAAATTTTCAGTTTCTTCATACTCTATCGTCTTTAACCATGCTGTAAGTTGTTTTTTCACATTATGCTTATATATAGGTTGCAAGTATAATATAAAGGTTTAAGACCGGCCTCAAACCTATTATATTCTAGGTTCTCATATCGGTCCGGAAAAATCTCCGGTGGTAGCTGATTCCACAAAGAAGTTTTGAAAGGAAAACTTTTGGGGAAATCGCACAGTGGTGGACCATAAAGCATCCAGATAGAAGTGCGATATGAAATGCAAACATGTATTCACAACATCAGTAAATCGAGCCGATCAGAAAGAATCACGGTCGTCGTCGATTCGAACCGCTTTCCACTAGATGCGGTCAAGTAGAAGGAGCTAGCACTCGGGTAACCCAGCCCAAAGATGAGAACATTATTCTATGTAAGGCTGAACTTGCGTTTTGTAAAGTTGCAAGTAGTGTGCTGGCATTAAATATTGTTCTACTGAGCACGCGAAGCTTTTTGCTAATTTAGCCTTCCCTTCCAAGTGACCGCGGAATTGAACTTCTCTCGATATGTCGATGCCGAGGATCCCAATAAAGCAGTAAGGATAAAATGTAAAATTGAGGAGATACGGTAAAGGGCTCCTTACTACAGGTAAACGCGAACCTATTTTGAAATTACGAAGAGTACCAGCGTGAAATACTTAAATCCGTTGTGTTTCATATAGTGAGTGTAGAGAAGCGGTGATCCTTTGCGCTGGTTAGCTCGCGTATTATGAAAGTTGCCGGTACGCGCATTTCTCCTGAACTGCTATGGCTCATCTGAGCATGGTAATTATGAGGAAATTAAATCATAACGCCTACATATAGCAGTGGATTGCGGGACTTTTTAGGATAGAAGGAATATTTTTGCGTTATCAACCATTAATTTTAAGATGGAATGCCTCGTATCCAGTAAAATAGTCTCCGGTTACCTATAATCACCAGATGAAACACAGTAGCAATAAGCTGCTATTTTACGTTGGTATTCTGGGTATATAGATCATTTAATGTATAAATATCAATTATTAAAAGTAGTGGAGATTATCTGTGATTAAATAGATCTGTGAAGTAACAGATTAACAAAAACATGAATAAAATGGGCGGCCTCCCGTTTGGTAACACGACATGTTAAGTCATGCAGGATATCGATGGATGCCGATTCAGAACGTGCTTGTGGCATTCTTTGGGAGGGGTCTATGTTCAGTACTTGTGACGGGCTGTATCCACCTGTAATAATGATGATGATGATGAATACATATTTATTATTATATATTTTTATTTCTAAAATATACAGGTTTCCTTACGACGTTTTCCTTCATCGCTGACGACATTGTAAATGAGCGTTTAAAACTACAATTAACATTTTGTTGGTGCCAGTTTTGATCGAACCTGGGTTACTCGCGTACTATATTTAAGGCGTGCACTAAGCACCTCAACTACCACGGATCTGGTTAGAAGGGACATCTGTTGGTTAGTATTTTGTTGTGTTAAAAACAGCGTTCCGTTAACTAGTAAAAATTCGTTTGGGGTAAATGAGTGTTAATGAATGACTGGTGTAGGTATAAATGTAATTACCCTTGTAATGGATAGAACTGTGGGTATTATTTATTATTCTAAACGTTTCGTACGATTTACGTGGGTTTTATTTTATCCTTGAGGTCTACTTTAAACTTTTCCGATATTGTTAACTGCAGTTTTTGAGTATTAGGTATAACTATATCGGTAATACTTTCGCCAATAAGCGATATTTGCAAAATAAAAATAACAAAAGAACCTTAGTCATTCATGGTCAGCTTTATCAACAACGGCCCTTAAAAGATATGAGCCAATCCTGTTTTAGGGAGGTTTTAATGTTGTTATTACTATAATGAACCAGCTTATATCGGCTCGTTTTGCTGGTAGCAAGATAATATACGATAATAACGTAGATATACAATATCAAAAAGAATATTATAAGACTATCATAAAATAAGTTTAGTTAGGGTTTACACTGTGAAATGAGTAACTATATTAAATTTCAGGTCAATCGGGTGTATAGTTTTAGAGATATCGTAATGAGTTAGTCAGTTGAAATAAAATAATTGTACATTTGTAACCTTGGAACTAAAATGAAATGTCATTGGCCCAATAAATAAGAGGTTTGGCTTCACAGTGTTTCAATTTGTCGAAGCAATTAAAAATATCGAGACTGAAAGGATAACGTATTGTTTTTTACCTTATAACATTCACCCGCTTTAATTTAAATGTGAAGGCGGGATTACTTTTTGTTTATTTTGATATTTGTCGTTGATGAACAGTACCTCTCGAGCTTCTAGATGGCCTTGTACTATGTAAATACCAGTTTACTGGATAATTTCCTGGCTTGTCAAAGAAGAACGCCGTTCATCGATTATAAATAGCCTATGCGCTTTTGGTTTGGTATCAGTCGCTTCGAAAACGCAGTCCAAGATGTTCAAGTTGTTGTTGTGCGCACTCTTCGCCGTGGCGGCAGCCGAACCGGGGATATTGATATCTCCTTCATATGTGGAAACCTACTCGGCTCCAGCGACCACCACCGTTACGAGACATGCCAGCAGTCACAGTGTCATCAATACACCCTACTATTATCCCCAGGGTATTATCCCCGGTTATCTCAATGAAAATCTGCACTTCATCAAGAAACGGTCCGCTCCTCTCATCAGCACCTACGGTTTCCCAACAACTTACTTAGCTGGTACACCTTGGACTAACGGCTACTCATCGTTCATCCGCTCCAACCCCCTTATCTCTTACTCACCTATCCAATACACTCCCGGTCACTTGATTAAGAAGCGGTCTGCTGTTTTCGCCGTACCTTCCACCTACTATACATCTACTCCTTACGCGTCTTCTTCATACTACATCCCCAACTCCTATGCAACGACCTATTCCTCTGCTCTGCTCCATAACACCCCCCTTATCTCTACATATGGTGCTCAACCGCATTTCATCAAGAAGAGGTCAGCTGCGTGGGCCCCTACGTCCTACGCACCGTTCGCTTCAAGCTACATAGCGTCTGGTCCTCTAGCAACCACTTACTCCACGGCTATCCTACCTAACAACTATCCATACTGGTCTTCATACGCTGCCCTTCCCATCTTCAAGAAGAAGTAAGGCATTGATTGATACATTTCCAAACGATCTACAAATTGTCAAAATTTTACAAGATATTTTTTTGTAAATAAATAATTTGAAACGACATGGTTGCTTTATTAATTATTAGTTAGCCTGAAATTTTTTTCATTAATATTTCTTTTTATAACCGCAAATGTCTTTGAAAGTACCTCTATCTGCACAATTTATTTTTGCTTATTATAAGAGTTATTAATTACTTACTTCCATTATTAGAATAAAAATGACCTATCCATAAATGGCTAGTGTAGATTATGGACACTTAAACCAACTTCCCGTTGTGAGCGTCTACAGACTCCCGTGTTCTATATATGATATTTTTGAAAAAATATGGAATAAGTATTTGCTAAGCTTAGTAAACAGAATGAATCTGTTGTAATATGTGAAGACCTACATCAATCTCCTAGAAGCTTCCTCCACCAATATTAAATTTAGATCATTATTGAAATCATAATATAAAGTCCTTTTTATTTTTAGAAATATAAGATTACGTACAACTCACAACAACAACTTACAACTTGTAAAAATGAGCCATTGCCAAATAATATTTAAGCACTTACGATCCTGATTTTATATTTCTTCATTTTTATCAGCAAGTGGGTCTCGCTTGTTCTTTAAGATTTATTTTAACTGTCGCGATTTAATTGTAACGAAAGCTACGCCCACTACAGTACAAGCCCACCACAAACTCGAAAAGTGGGTCATCATATATATAATGCAAAAATTGAGTTCTGATCACTGTTGACAATCAGTTTTGTTAGCAGAGAAAGTTGTGTTTGTTTTAGTAAATCTATGTCACTTGGAGAAGTTCGGAAGTAGCATAGTATAAAACCTTCCATCACTTTCCTACCAAAATAATCCAGATTTTTTGTATGGAAAAATATTTAAGCTTATTTGCAATGAATTTGATAACACTTACTTCTAAAACACTCTCCTTGAACAGACGCAAGGAACTCAATGAATGGGCGACAGGAGTACATAAGAGCAGCCACAATTTATCTGAACTTTACCATGAAAGGTCATATAATCCTCTCCTCCTCCTATAATCCTCCATAAAAAATATTAAAAAGAATATGCACATGTCCCCAGCCAAGTCTTTGCATTTGAGCTACAAAATTAAGACAGTTTCTAAGAAAATTAATGACCGTTATAGTGAAACTGGTTAGATCAAGTCTCGCAATTCAAACTACCAGTTAAGTTTTAACATTAAATTAACTAAATCATATTAGAACGTTGTTATGTCCCTGAATTCTTCTACTGCTGTCGCCGAATCATTAATTAAACAAAATGTAAATGCATGCACAAATAATTGGCGTTGCGAAGAGCTGTTGCCTCTCTCTGGAGTGAGTCTGAGGAATTGTTCGGATTAATCCCAGCCGCCAATTTCGTGAACGCACTACGTGGCAAACGTCCCGATACCATCCACACCATCTGGATGCTTGGCGGTCTACCACTGTACGTTTCACAAGGAGTTTTCTTCTGCGTTCGATCTCTCTGTGGAATAGTTTACTACCGGCGATTTTTCCGGACCGATACGACCTAGGGACCTTCAAGAAAAGAGCTTACTCCTTTCTAAAGCGCCGGCAACGCACCTGCAATTCCCCCGGTGTTGCGGTTGATCATGGGTGGCGGTAGTCATTTAACATCAGATGAGCCACATGCTCGTTTGCCCTATCTTCTATAAAAATATATTTCATAAAGTATCATCAAAAGATATTGTAAAATATTCTAAAAATACAGATATTAACAAAACCCTAGATCTGTAAGGGAGTTTCGTTAAAGTTATTGCATCTTTAATAGATACAATCGCACCTCAATTAGCTATTAGTTTTAATACTAGTAGTAAAGTAATACCTTTATATAAATTTGGTAGTACATGGGCATTCATCATATTTAGACCTATTTCTGTACTGTCAACACTTAGTAAAATTTTTGAAAAAAATATTCTTGGTGTTGTTATTTTTTAAAATGTAAGTGGTATAACTCATAAAAATCAATTCGGTTTCACAAGGGGTCATTCGACAACTGATGCTGTGTGTTGAGCTGATTAAATGTATCTTCAATACATGGGAGAATTCACAGGATGCTTTGGGTGTATTCTGTGACTTATCCAAAGTCTTCGATTGTGTTCACCATGAAACATTAATCAGGAAACTTCAACACTACGGTGTAAGAAGTGATGCTCTTAAATTAATTATTTCATATTTAAGTGACAGAACGCAAAAAATTGTCGTTAATAGTATGAGTTCTACCGGGTTGATAGTACAAATGGGCGTACCTTAGGGCTTAATTCTCGGCTCCTTTTTGTTTCTTGTATATGTTAATGAATAACCTTAGCAAGCAGGGGATAATCATAATATTATTTGCTAATGACACTTAATTAATTTTAAAGTTAAGACGACAATTACTAAAATATGACGAAGTAAATAATAGTCACAACCGCCTGAAAATCGAATCGACCAAGTAAACAATCGGGTTGACAACGTGATAGCTGACATGAAGAAAACGCTGGAGGACCTCAAACTTGAGGATGGAATTACAGCTGCCGTGGTAGCACATAGCAGTTTGAATTCACGTAGCACCTTCGCTACGTGAATTCAAACTGCCGCCATTTGACGGGACTTCTTCCTGGTCGGCCTACAGAATCTAGTTCGAGGCTGTCATGAAAGCAAACGGCTGGAATAAAAGTCAGGCTATGATTGCTCTCACCCTAGGCTTGCACAACCAAGTCTAAACTGTTCTGGAAGCTCTAAGTAAGGAAGTGACTTACGAACAGCTTCTTGAGGCATTGGAGGCGAGATATGACGAATCGCATACAAAAGACGTGTTCCATGTAAACACGTCTTTCGTGCGCAGCTTAAGGATCACGTGCACGTGCCTTAACGAAAACCTGCAGCAGTGAGCCCTTGAGTTGGAGAAGCTGGTTCGAAAAGCATACCTGCACTCATTGTAAGGAACCTGGTGTAGACATACACATATTTTTAAATATTTTTTATATTTTTTTACATATAATTCGACGCTAGGATTATATGACCTTTGATGGTAAAGTTCAGTTAAGCTTTGTCTGGTCTTATGCACTCCTGTCGCCCATTGAATGCCTTGCGTCTGTTCAAGGACTATATTATAATTTTAACAATGATCTACATTTAATATTTGTGGAGGAAGCTTTTAAGAGATTGATGTTAAAGTCTCCATATTTTACAACAGATTTATTCTGTTTATTAAACTTAGCAAAAACTTATTCCATATTTTTTTAAAGTAAGAAGTTTATATTCCTCCCGTACAAAACGCCAATTTCATATGTAAGGACCTATTACTCTTGGGTATTTTTCAAGCCGTGTATTTGAAGTTATTAGAACTTAATTTGCTCATATTCGCGTAATAAAATTAAATAATGTGTCCTACCCAGTCTGAAGAGCACCTCCCAACCCCCCTCAATTGCATGCACTATCCCCGTAACCTCCACTTCTAATACCACCACACCACACCCAACATCACCACACTAGGAACGACACACCACTCTCGATAATACGATTACATATTTTTTTCAAAATAAGAAGAAGAAGTACAACAAATGATGACACAGGTTTTCCTAATGATGTCCCATATACAAGACTATAAGGGATATTATATCCCTCTGGAAAGCTGTAAGGGAGAAAGATAAAGTGTGTGCGCAGGCAAGGGCATGGAGGTTAGAAAGAAGGAGAATGATCGCTACCTGCTACATACGTACGTACATACGTCCTGGGTAGGACACATTACACGTTAGCCCGCCTGTCCCCGAAAATTTGTAGAATTTATAGCCGCGCTGCCGTCGGTAAGTAGTATCTGCGAAGTTAGCTGTTTGTGAGTATAAGTGAATGAAGTTAGTTGAATTAAAAAAAGTTTTAATTTTTGACAAAAATACATACTAAAAAATGGTGAAATGTTATAAAAAATAATCAATAATTTATATTTGTAATAATTAATAATATTTTATCATCATCATCATCATTACAGCCCTTTACAAGTCCATTGCTGAACATAGGCCTTCCCCAAGGTATGCCACAAAGCACGGTCCTGAGCCACCTGCATCTATCGACTTCCTGCATGTCTTACCAGGTCGTCACTCCATCTAGTGGGGGGTCGCCCTACACTTCGCCTACCGGTACGAGGCTGCCACTCGAGAACCTTTTTTCCCCAACGGTTGTCGGTTCTTCGAGCTATATGGCCAGCCCATTGCCACTTCAGCTTACTAATCCGTTGAGCTATGTCTGTCACTCTGGTTATACTGCGGATATCCTCATTTCTAAGTTTAACACGCTGAGAAACTCCGAGCATAGCCCTCTCCATAGCTCGCTGAGCAACTTTGAGCGTCCTCATACGGCCAGCAGTGAATGACCACGTCTCAGTTCCATATGTCATCACTGGCAACACGCACTGGTTGTACAACTTAGGACTTACTTACTTTCAGGATTTGAGGTATACTTGACGAGAAGATGTGTCGTAATTTCCCGAACGCTACCCAGCCGAGTTGAATCCGTCGATTGACCTCTCGGTCGAAGTTGGACTTACCTAGTCGAACTATTTGTCCCAGGCAAACGTACTCGTCAACAACTTCGAGCTTACTGCTCCCAACAACTACCGGCATAGGTGTGACATGGACATTAAACATGAATTTTTACCACCGTAACCAGGAATAGCGGGGCTACCGGGAACTGGGGGCCGTTTGTTTGCATCGTTACTCATGGGGGGATAATTGCCATAGTTGCCACGCTTGGCGAGCGGGTTGGCAACCGCAGTTTTTTATTATATTATTGTTGTTATTAGGAAGATGCTGCTGCCCATGTCCTGCCTGTCTCCCTCTGTCATCTCTTACGACATCCACGGGAAGACATGGGGTAGTGGATATTCTCAACCGCCACTACACTGCGACCAGTGGTAAGTGGAACGGCCCCAGCACCGAATCAGGCCGATACTGTCGCATTCTGGTGCGGCCTGTG